ATGCAAAATGGGACATATATATTGTAACTATTAAAAACAATGAATTTTACACATAAATTAGCATTCCCGTTTTTTATTTGTGTACGACATCGAAATTGAACGCGTATAAGTCTTACCATTGTTATTTACCAATTTTTTATCACATACGAACAGATATTATTATGAAAACATTTTAAAAACTATTTTCTATTAATATGAAAACTTTAAAAACCACTCTTCTAGATATTAAGGGCACAACATGTCTTCTAAAAATGAACCTGTTAATATCTCTGCTCCGTGGTGATAAACGCGCATTTTCTAATTAAAATAAATACAGGCTGGGTGTCTTCAAAAACAAATAAAAGCACCTTTTATTGTAGGAACGACATAAAATTTAAATCAAGGGGACAATAAATTAAATAAAATATTTCTTACCGGCAGTATTGAATTCGATGTCGTATATCCAATTCACTATTATGCAATAGTTTGAAGCAATAAATAAGTCAATATCCACAAAATAATTTAATAAATGCAATTATCCATTCAACAAAAAATAAATTGAAGTAACAATGCACTTAATACAGCCATTATGCAGCCGTATATTTAGAGAAAGTGAATGACAATCCATCGTTTGTTTACATCGGACGCCATTTTGCCGCAATGCATGATGGAGCCAAAGACTTCGTTTTCGGAGTTCACACTGTTTTTGGAGTTCGTCTAGACTGTTGATAGGATCCAGGAAAAACTTTAATGTATCCGAGGATTCAAGATATCAGTGGTTAAATTCTTAAAGAATCAGTGGTGGGGACTTCAAATCACTTTGACATCACATATCCATAGTACTCAAGATATCAGTGTTTTAACCTAGATACCGAAGTTCAAATGTACATGTATCTGAGGATTATGAGATCGAACTCCCAACATATACATCAGAGACTTTTATAAATAAAAGAAATTCTCAACTCCATCATTTTCAAGTTTATTTGCAATAATATGTTATTGACCTGCAGGGTTGTGGTTCACTTTTGAAACCTTAGGGGCCAAAAAAGAATTTTCAACTTTTTTTTTGAAATTTTACGGGTCCACAATCTGATCCACTGGCCCACATTATGTGTACTAAATTAAAAATAACAACAACAAAAATCCTAAATTTTTCTAATTTATTTTTTTTATTCAAAGTATCGATATGTTCGCAGTATATGAATTTTTGTCACTTTTCTCTTTTCTAAAAACTTTTATCCAATAATATGTTTGTTACATTTTGAAGTGTTTAACCTTATACAACTGAAGCATCTATGGTTTAACAAGGGGGCATAATAAATAATAGATCACATACAATGGTGAACCTGTGATGAAGTTTGATTCAGATCTTTTATTGTGTGCATTTGACATGGTAATTCAAATTCTATCTGTGAATAACTAGTCCGGATGGAGTGTGTGACAGCCATAGCCAATTGTTACAATATTTCCATTAGAACAATCTCATACATTTGTTCTGGTATCATCAGATTTAACTGAGATTTAACTGCTTCAGTAAATCGCCATGTTTGATCTCAGTCATGTACGTTTGAATAATTTGCTTGTACGCAACACAAATAATCTAGGTTAGTAGAGCGTTTTCCTAAAAACTGAAAGTACATAGAATATAAAACTGAAATGTGATGTTCCGGAAAAAAATTGTTCGCTTTATGGGCGACCAGATTTTTAATATCTAATGGCCCACAGCAAATTTTACTTGCATTTGCAAGTGGCGAGTGGTTATCCACAACCCTGACCTGGCAAATTACACTTAATGAATTTATATTTCGATCTAAAGTTAATATTTATTTTATTTTTCTCTAATGCATAGGTGTATGATATTTAAAGTTTTAAAACTATACAATAATAGCAAACTGCAAATTAAGGAGGTCAAATCTGGCTGGCTTACCAAGGTCACTTGTTACTTATTTTAGATTCCTTCTTTGTTGTTGTATTAAATAAACTAAAATTGAAAATAAAACATTCTGAATAATTTGATTTGAATAAAAAAATGTTACTTTCTTATTTGCTGCAAGATTTGAAAAAAAAATCAACAATAGGGTCTGCAAGAAATTGTGAGAGTTGAATCATTTCAAACAGTTGCGTATCTGTGATATTTATGTCTCTGCTTACAGTTTTTTTAAAAAGATTACACAAAATCAGTTCAGAAATAGTAACATAAATTGTACAGTTTTGGTTTTTATACTCCCGCTCCGAAGGAGAGGGGGGTATACTGTTTTACCCTTGTCTGTTTGTCTGTCTGTCCATCTGTTTGTGTGTCTGTCCGTAACAAATTTTGGCCACAGTTTTCTCAGCAACTACTCATTGCAGATGCTTGAAATTTTAGCACACTCTTTGTTTAGGCATGCCATATGGTGGGCTTCATTTTTGTACGAATCCGATGTCAACTTCCAGTTTATCGTGCGTCTGTCCGTACCATACATAACAAATTTTGGTCGCAGTTTTTTCGGCAACGACTCATCACAGATGCTTGAAATTTTAGCACACCCTTTGTTTAAGGATGCCATATGTTGGGATTCATTTTTGTAAAGATCCAATGTCCACTTCCTGATTATCACTGTGTCTGTCCATAACTGAACTTGTATATTCACATCAGAGCGGGGGTATTATTAGCAAGCATTGGCTCACAGACTTCTTGTTTTCATAGCTTCTTATATTTCATCATTTTTAGATTCAAATTAATTTGTTACATGTTAAGACAAGAGTCACTTTTTTCAGGATTTCCTTTTTCCATATTTTGACATTAAATTTCAGTATAAATAAAAAAATATATATATAGATCTGAGGAGAATGAAAATAATATGGCTTGGTTGACAGGAAAATTTTGTGATAAATATGTGTTTTAGTGATAATAAAACCTACATGTATGCAAACATTTTTACGAATTTCTATGACTTTTTTTTTTTTTTTTGAGTAATCTACATGTATGTCCTTAAAGCAGATCTTTTTAAAGGTCACCTTAGTGAATCATTCATGTGTACAACATGTAGATGCCTTGATAAATTTGCATTTCTGCTTTCTTATATTGTTAACAAATTCATTTGTCATAGGTAAGTGTTGATCAAACATATATAAGGCAAAATAGCATACCATTCAGTTAGATAGTAAGCTATATGGTGTGGATTTATCACTAACGGTAAAAGTTTTGTTTGATATTACAGTGTTTATGCTAGGAAGAATATTTTTATTATCAGTAATACTATTATGCTGTTGAATTTTTCTCCATATCCCAGTCACAAACACACACCAATATAATTAAAATTAAATTCTTCCCACTCCCATTTATTGTTATGTCACTGTAACAGAAAACAGACCTAGTTTAGTTTAGAGAGTGTGAACCTAGAAACCCATATTCACATGTATAAAAAGGTTCTTTTTAGCTCTGACACCTTGACGAATGATGAGCATATGCAATACCACTAGCATTGACATCCAGACTTAAGTTTTAGGAACAAGTTCATTCTCAAGTGGATTAGTGAACAGTAATAAGTTTTTGGAGCAGGTCCATTCCCAATTAGCTATAATCCTTACTTATACCAAACTTGAAGGAGTGATGCATCTAGAGATGTACACTACCAAACTTACTTCAGATGATGGATCTTACCTACATTTTCAAGATGAGTGAATATTACCCCTACCTGAACCAAACTAGCACGGATGATACATCTAGGATCATCACTACCAGACTTGCTTTTGATGTTGGTTCTCCTACATTTTCCAGATGAGAGAACACTGTATACAGGGAAATTTTTCACCCCCGTTTTATTTTGGCCCCTTTCACCCTCATTGCTAGTGGGCGTATTTAAAATGGGGCAAATTTAAAAAAAAAAAAAAAAAGACAGCATAATCTCTTAAGCAAAATATTGTCTGGGTGAATTTAAAGCAAAAGCAAAATTGTTTGCAAGTGTTAAAGGGCAAAAAATATTGTATTGTGATACCTTTTTCCAGTACCGATATACCTGCAGACTGCTTGGGTTTTAGATTTCTTGCGTAAAACATGAAATTTAATATGTTAGAAACGTTTTCAATTGTGCCAAACAGTACCAAATGGTAAGGTTGCTGTTGTATGATTGCATTTTGTTCCAAAACTATAGGGAAATCAACAAGAACTTTTTTGTAACAATGTATTTATAATAGTTTTACACACTCTGGTTATAGATGGAGGTTAATAAAATAAGAAGAAAAGCATTTTAACTGTCATTGAACATATTGCAATACATATCGCAAAACAGTTAAATATATTGCAATACGAAATTCCCAGCCAATACCCAGCCCTATTTTCCAGATGAGTGAATATTAGCCCTACCTGAACCAAACTAGCATGGCTGATGCATCTATTGATGGACACTACCAGAATTGCTTCGGATGCTGGATCTGACCTACATTTTCAAGATGAGTAACCAGGTTTAAGTTTTTAGAGCTGGTCCATTCCCAAGTAACTATAAGTCCTATCTAAACCAAACTTGCATGGATATTGATCTTGGGATGCACAATTACATTTGTAACTAGAAAAAAAATGCTGTGAGATATGCCTTACTTAAAGATAACATTTGTCAACTTTGTAATCTTTGATTACCTATGTTAACTGTATTCAATATTGATAGCCCCTCCCCCCCCCCCCCCCAAAAAAAAAATAGGATTAAAAATCACATCCACAGATTTACTGTGTATAATGTTGATATATTTGTACAGAACAAACTATGACTTGGATTAAATGGAGTAAATTTGTCATGTACATACAAAATTAGATGGCTATTTTAGTTGTATGTCATTTTCTACTTAATCCCATGATACACATTGTATCCAGTTTCTGTTGATAATTGGGTATTTTTAACGTATTTTTTTATTTACCTGTGCATATGGTAGAAGTGTGATTGATTTTAAATTAACAGTTACGTCATATCTGGTTCCTCGTAAGGTAACAAGCAGACTGCAAGGAAGATGTTGCTATTACCTGTGTATTGATTTTTTGTTATTTTAAGGTGAAGCAGAACACTGTTGTTCATTCCAGTAAGTAATCACCCAGGGAGGAGGGCTGCAAGACACAATGTGACAGGGACACGGTCTACCTTTATACAGGGAATTACACTGAGGAGCAAGATGAAGTGTTGTGTGGGGATAGTGATCTTCCTGACATGTTTTAGAGGAGGATTTTGTGCAGATCCAGTTTTAACACCTGAGACAGTGACAGATTCAGGGGGAAATTCAGCCAATGCCAATAGCACCATTACTTGGGGTCCTTTACCCAGCTATGATTCATACACAGCAGGGAGCATTACATATGATGCATCTGGACTTACACCTCTTTACAATTTTGCTAAGGCTTTTATAAATGGGGCAGTTTTTCCTTATGGAATTCCATGGGGTATGTTTATTTGTTTATATATATTAAAAAAAAACAAAAACAAAAGAACTGCAATACCAATTCAGAAATTTGACCATAAATTTACATAATTTGTATTAGTTTTGTAGTAATGTTGTTGACTATGTTATAAACTTGTATTGAAATGATGTTCTGATAAAAGTAAGTTAAAGTAATAAGGCACCTAGCTAGTTGGTATTTCTAATAGTTGTCAAAAATATTTGTTATTCCATTGCAGATTTGATGGAGAAAGCAATAAATGGGACACTTATAAATGACGTAACTACAAACTATATGTCAGTGAGTACCATAAATATCTGTCAGACAAACTCATAAAACCTACTCTAAATCATTTAACAAATATTTCATGTGACTCCCATTTTTTGCAAATCAGAGCTTTGTATTTTCTAATGTGAGGTGTAATTTTGTATATCATGCATGATGCATATGGTTATTTATCGTGTATGAATTTCTTTTCATCATGTTCCACAGATATTGCTTAGAAATTAATTTATGTGTATAAAGATATTCCTGCTAAAATACACATTACAAAATTGGGAAAAAACTTCTTGTATTACATTACACATAGATACAAGATTACATAAAACACTCCCCTCCCCCCTAAAAAAAATAAAGGAGTGACACATGTCAGAAGTTTTGAGGGTTAAACAATTTAACATAAATTCTAAAAATGCTCTAGGGGCTTCGACCTTGAAAGTGATAATTTATTAAAAAAAAAAAAAAAAAATCTCTAATCATGCTAATAAAAATGACCCATTTTGATCATCAAGTATCTTCGTAGGAAAATCCAAGAAATGTTTCCAGTACCACCTTGGGATTTGAGTTTGACCTTGGAAGTTCAGGGCTCTCACCCCACTTTTTTGGACTGGGGCTAGGGCCATAAACATTAGGAAAATTAGCGACCTCTCAGGGAAGTTTTGGATAATTATTATGTATTAAAGTCATTGTTGGATATTGGGTTTCTGGTGTGTGTTTTCAACTAAATTTCTGATTTGCAGTACAGAAGAATATGAATAGCAAGTCTAGTTATCATAATACAACATGTACAAAGATCAGGATATATGTTCTTAAGACTTTAATTTTGGGTTAAATGTCTATTGAGAAAATAAATACATTCAATTGGGGACAAAGTACCTTTTTAGATTACATGAGCTGAAAGCTCAAGTGAGCTTTTCTGATCACATTTTGTCTGTCGTCCATCTGTCCGTCTATTCGTCTGTAAACTTATGGCCTTTTTCGACTTCTTCACCAGAACCACTTGGCCAATTTCAGCCAAACAAAGGATCCTTTGGTGAAGGGTATTCAAATTTATTCAAATGAAGGGCCAGGCCCTCATTCAAGGGAGATAATTAAGAATTAGTGGAAATTAAATTTTAAAGATCTTCTTCTCAAGAATCATTGAGCCAAAAGAATTTGAAACTTATGTGAAATTTTTATTACATACTGTAGATTCAAATTTCTTCAAATCATGACACCCGGGGGTATGATGGAGCCAAAATGGGGGATCAAAGTTTTACACAGAAATTTATTGGGAAAAATCTTTAAAAATCTTCTTCTCAAGAACAGCAAAGCTGTGATTAGTCATATTGATATGCAAGTATCCTCAGGTAGTGTAGATTTGTAAGTTTGTACAAATCAAGACCCCTTGGGGATAAGGTGAGGCCACAATGGGGGATCAAAGTTTTTCATAGGAATATATAGGAAAAATTTTTTTAAAAATCTTTTTTATCAAGAATAGCAAAGCCACAATTAGTCATATTGTTATGGAAGCATTCTAAGGTAGTGACTAGATTCAATTTGTACAAATCATGAGCCCAGGAGGTAGGGTGGGGCCACAATGAGAGATCATAGTTTTACATAGTGTCACAGGTTGTGAAAAATCAAGTCTCAACCGGGACTCGAACTCAGGGCCTCTGGCGTACCGTGCAAGCACTCTAACCACTGACCTACCGAGACCCAATATATTGACAGACTCTCACATACCTGTGAACCCAGTGACATATTCTTCCTCTTTGTAGAAATTCATCCTCAAATTCTAAGAGTTAAGGAAATGCTGTAAGGCATGTTCCAAGGGAATAGTGGGTATTTGTATGTTGGGCACCAAATGTCTCAGATGGTGAAAAATCAAGTCTCAACCAGGACTCGAATAGAACCCAGGGCCTCTCTGGCGTACCGTGCCAGCACTCTAACCACTGCGCCACTGAGACCCGATATATTGACTGACTCTCACGTACCTGTGACAATAGTAATATATAGAAATTTTGGTTTTTTAATATTCTTCTCAAGAACAGCAAAGCCATGATTAGTCACATTGATATGGAAGTATCCTCAGGCAGTGTAGATTCAAGTTTGTACAAATCAAGACCCCTTGGGGATAGGTTGAGGCCACAATAGGGGATCAAAGTTTTTCATAGAAATATGCAGGAAAAAAATCTTTAAAAATCTTCTTCTCAAGAACAGCAAAGCCATGATTAGTCATGTTGATATGGAACTATCCTAAGGTAGTGTAGATTCAATAAGGGTGCAACGATAAACAGTTTGACGGTATATTGCGGTATATTTTTCCACGGTTCAATTCACGATACGCTAAACTGATGTCGCGGTTCGGTTCAATCGGTCCAGAATTATCCGAATCCTTTTTTACAATTTCAAAATGCCTTCCCCGCAAAACGTGAGGTCGCCGATAACGCATTAACGTAAGTTAAACTCATCTCCAGCATCTTACAGACCTCAAATTTAACACGGAGAAGGACTTAATGTGATAATAAGTTAATGATGTTAAGACAAATGATAAACCCTTTATATCTAAACGTATTCTTACGTAATCATGGTAATACACAATATTTCATCACATGTGTATTTCGATGAAAATTCACTGTCTTGTTGACTAAAATGTGTTAACATGAGAAATATGACAACTGGTTTTCTACATAAATAAAAGGAATAAAAGAATGAATGTCTTCCTTTTTCATTCCATTTTAAAAGGAAGATTATTAGGAAAGGTCCCCGTAGTTCCCTGTAAATGTTCATCATTGGTTTAGAATATTGTCAAAACTCATATCTACCTATCAATCCAATTCAAGTTAACAAAATTTTATTTTAATTATTATTAAAAAATATGAACATCTTATATAACCCTGTCAAGTTTTAAAAAATATGATGACAAACTTGATAGACTTTTTAACCTTGTCATGTATCGTGATACATATCGTATCGTGAACTGAATACTGTGATACGTATCGTATCATGAGGTTAGTGTATCGTTGCATCCTTAAGATTCAAGTTTGTTCAAATCATGAGCCCAGGCGGTAGGGTGGGGCCACAGTGGGAGATCATAGTTTTACATAGTAATATATAGAAATTTTGTTTTTTTAATATTCTTCTCAAGAACAGAAAAGCCATGATTAGTCATATTGATATGGAAGCATCCTAAGGCAGTGTAGATTCAAGTTTGTTCAAATTATGACCCCAGGTGTATAGGATTGAGCCACAATAGGGGATCAAAGTTTTACAAAGAATACATAAGAAAAAAATCTGATGATGAAGAAGAACAGGGCCATATTGACTCAGGTGAGTGTTGTGGCTTATGGGTCTCTTATTTGAATTGGGAAATGGGACTTTGAATAGCCTCATTTATAGACAATCAAGGGCCCTGAAGTTGGTTTAAAATCTATTAAATATAATGAGGTTTGGATGACTCTTTCTGATCATTAACTCATCAATTCACACACAGGTAAAATAAAATTAAATGTTTAAAATAAAAATAAGAGTTGACTTGGCCTTGAACCTTGACTTTGAAATTGGTGTAAAATGTTTATGCATGTATTTATTGAGAATAATCCAAAATATTGTACTACCACCGGAGTTAATAGGAGACTTGAAATTTTACCTAATGATATATAAATTAAACATTTCTGTTGTGGATGACCATTCCTGATTATCATCTTTTTATTGAAACAAGTAAATAAGAACAACATTTTTCATATCTTTCATTAGACTTGACCTGGTATATGACCTTTGACCTTGATGACTGGAAAATGATCAGTGGTAATCTTTGTTATAGGTGATCTTATTTTCCAAGTAGTTATGAGCCCTGCCTGGAAATATGAACAGGTGATGAGTACTAGTATTGATAAAGCTCTGGATGTACATTTTCTGGATTAGTAGCCAGGTTTTTGTGGCTGGTTTATTCCTCAAGTATCTCTACCTGGACCAAACTTTTGTGGATGGTGGATCTGATGCATACTATCAGTCAGTACTTCAGATCCTGCACAAATAAATCTGAGGTGCTTTGGTTGAGATAATTGTAATGTCATTTTCAACAAAATTATGAAAATTAAGGTGCTCAGCTGCAATATTTCCTTCATAATTTTTTTGTTTTAAGAAGGAGTCTAGCAAAGTAATTTTTTGCATTGATTATCTATACATTTTTACACATGCAAAAAGAAATTATTTAGATTACAAATCAGCTTTATTACTTAAAGTACCTAAGGCTGAAAGACAGTGTAGCATGCTTGAAGAAAGAACTTATTTTGTTATACAATACAAATGTACAATGACATTACTACTTCAGATTGCTTTACCTAAAGCAGCCTGTAGACTTTGGTGCCTAGTTATGTTCCCCAAACGAAGTTTGGGAACATATTGTTTTTACTCTGTTTCTTACTATTATTAATATTATTCTTTTTTTCTACTTTCTTCTCCGGTTCTTTTTTGTCGGGGAGTGTTCTCATAGAACCACTCATCCGATTGACATGAAACCTTTTTAGGGTTAATAGGCATGTTGTGTAGGTGCTCGGAATGAAGGTCATTTTGCAGGCACGTGCGGGCGCGTGCAACGCAACAAGTGAAATGACTGATATACTTGATGAAGCCGTAACCTTTATATTTCTTGATGAAGCCGTAACCTTTATATTTCTTGATGAATTGCTTTCAAACTCAAAATATAAAGATACACTAGTTGTCTAAACAAGATAACATGGTCAAATTAGCGTGAACTCATGCGCATGCATGTGCGTTCTTCTCTGATTGGCTGATACAAAAATCTCAACAATTTCCTTGTTTTTGGACAAAATACTTTGAAATTTAGAATATAAGTATGTATTATAAGGTGCTTCAACATGTTATATAGGAAATTCCTTAAAAACATGTGCATGCAGGTGTGCTGCAATCTGATTGACTGAAACTTTGAATGTCTATAACTCTGTTGGTTTTCAACAAAACAGGATGAAATTTATGACATGGATAGGTACATAGGGCTCCTACATTATGATACTATCAAAATTGAATGCAAGGCCATGCATGTGCTTATGCTGAATTCTGATTGGCTAATACTTAAAGGGTTACATCTCTCTTATTTTTCAATGAAATTCTTTGATATTTAATACAAATGTATATATTGTGAGACACTGTAAGAAAATTAATGTGAAAAATGTAGAAAACATGTGCAAGCACATGCGCTGAAATTTGATTGGCTAATACCCATATGGCTATATTGGAGTAGTTTTCCAATAAAATACCCTCAAAAATGAAGTGTCCATCTATATTACAAAAGTATTGTGTAATTTAATGAAGCTTGTAGGGAATGGGGCATCATAAGGGATTGGGGAGCTGTTTGGGGAACATCTGTAATGGTTCCTGTTACAATTAGCACTAGTTAATGATGTACTACAATGTCAGTATCACTATTTAAAACTATAAAGTATATTCTAATAAACAGAATTGTATTGTAAACAGTTTGCTGGTTATAGAGCCAGTACAGTGACACCTAAGAATGACTCGATCACTGTCTCTTATTTTTTTATTTATTTATTTTTTTAATATTTTTTTTTTTTTTTGCATTAGGCCTATCTTAAACAGTTTACTGGAAATAGAACCTGTAAAATGTTACATTATAACATGTCATTGTTATTTTTATTTTTATTTTTTTACAGTATCTGAGGCAGTTTGCGGGCTATGGAGCCTGTGTAGTGATCGGATTTCTCTTCATCTTTATTTTTCCTCTGATTGGACTCTGTTTCTGCTGCTGTCGTTGTTGTTGTAAAACCTGTGGGGGTAAAATGATGCAGAATCAAGAAGATGCTAAGGCTGATTGTAAAAGGAGGACGTATGCTATCATCCTCTTCATCCTTATAGCGTTCACAAGGTGATTTTAGTTTACATCTATCTAGTTTACAGTGTAAAGTGATTGTAATTTACAGCAGCCTATTCCTCCTTAAAGTGTTTAAAAGGAAAGATGATTTTATTTACTAATATCATCTTCATCAGTTGATTACAATTGACATCCTTATCTTCATCCTTAATGTGTTCAAGTTAAGAAGGCCAGTGTAATTTGCATCATCTTCTACAGCCTTGTAGTAGTGCTTCCAAAGCAAGTTGATTGTAATTTTCATTATCATCATCCTTACAGTATTTCTGAGGTAGGATGATTGTAATTACATCATCTTCATCCTTACAGTATGTCTGAGATAGGATGATTGTAAATTACATCATCTTCATCCTTACAGTATGTCTGAGATAGGATGATTGTAAATTACATCATCTTCATCCTTACAGTATGTCTGAGATAGGATGATTGTAAATTACATCATCTTCATCCTTACAGTATGTCTGAGATAGGATGATTGTAATTACATCATCTTCATCCTTACAGTATGTCTGAGATAGGATGATTGTAATTACATCATCTTCATCCTTACAGTATGTCTGAGATAGGATGATTGTAAATTACATCATCTTCATCCTTACAGTATGTCTGAGATAGGATGATTGTAAATTACATCATCTTCATCCTTACAGTATGTCTGAGATAGGATGATTGTAATTACATCATCTTCATCCTTACAGTATGTCTGAGATAGGATGATTGTAATTACATCATCTTCATCCTTACAGTATGTCTGAGATAGGATGATTGTAATTACATCATCTTCATCCTTACAGTATGTCTGAGATAGGATGATTGTAATTACATCATCTTCATCCTTACAGTATGTCTGAGATAGGATGATTGTAAATTACATCATCTTCATCCTTACAGTATGTCTGAGATAGGATGATTGTAATTACATCATCTTCATCCTTACAGTATGTCTGAGATAGGATGATTGTAAATTACATCATCTTCATCCTTACAGTATGTCTGAGATAGGATGATTGTAATTACATCATCTTCATCCTTACAGTATGTCTGAGATAGGATGATTGTAAATTACATCATCTTCATCCTTACAGTATGTCTGAGATAGGATGATTGTAATTACATCATCTTCATCCTTACAGTATGTCTGAGATAGGATGATTGTAAATTACATCATCTTCATCCTTACAGTATGTCTGAGATAGGATGATTGTAATTACATCATCTTCATCCTTACAGTATGTCTGAGATAGGATGATTGTAATTACATCATCTTCATCCTTACAGTATGTCTGAGGTAGGATGATTGTAAATTACATCATCTTCATCCTTACAGTATGTCTGAGATAGGATGATTGTAATTACATCATCTTCATCCTTACAGTATGTCTGAGATAGGATGATTGTAAATTACATCATCTTCATCCTTACAGTATGTCTGAGATAGGATGATTGTAATTACATCATCTTCATCCTTACAGTATGTCTGAGATAGGATGATTGTAAATTACATACTTCTCTTAGTCCTTCTAGTTTCTTCAAGGTAAGTTGATTGTAATTTTCATCATCTTAATTTTTGAGGTATACAGTAATGTTGGTAATTAACACCACCCGTTTCATTCTAATAGCAATGATAAGGTGAGGTATTCATAATTTAAGCAAATCTAGTAGATAACTGCAATTTTCCTTCATACAGCAACTGTATCTTTTTCAAATTTTGGTGACTAATACTTAAAAAAAAACACCCTCTTAGATGTGAAAGAAATCTACAATCATGACAATGTAAAGTTGTCAGTGATAATATGGTTCAGAGGTTGCAGTTATTCATTTTGATGTGCGTCCTGCGTAAATTACGGACAAATTTTGCCCAGGACGCATTATTTCAATAAATGTGCATCCCAATGGACGCAATATATTTGTAGAAGGACATCTACTATTTTAAATTATTTCGGTATAATCTGATTCAAAACTTGACCGATTGCATCATATCCACGTGCTAAACGATATGCATGAACGATTTTAACAGGTAGGTCTACAAGGTTGCCAACAACTGGTCAGATTTCACAACTCAAGTTAAAAGCAATTGTCAGAAAATATTTGAAAGTTAGATAGCATAGTTCGATTATCACTGATTATGTCTATACAGTGGAACGTTTCTGAAGCGAATACTATACATTTGTACCTTCGTATTTAAGCTGTAACCTGTATCATTGTTTTTTTTTTCTTTTCCTTTTTTCCTTACAAGCTAAGAAGTATAAGATTTAATAATTTTTATTTCTGACTATTTGTCATTTCTTCTTAATTTTTTTTTTTTACCTCTTTCTGCTTCTGTGCATTTTTTGACTGATACAATGTGTGAGATCGTATGTACGATCTAAAAATAGAACCAAAGTGCACAGTGGACAATATATTATTTTTATGACACAAAATCATGTACTCTTACTTGGACAATTGATAGTAAAAGTATAAATCACTCACAGCTACAATAAAACATTTGCACTTTCGTGCAATACACTTTTTTTTTTATTTCACCAGAATTTCCTCTGTAACATCTAATATACGGTCCCCTTGGATTTGGACGCATTGATTTTGGCAGGGGACTCATTGTTGTCATTAAGAGGGGTCCTTTGGACCCATGATAACCATTTTCAAAATGAATCACTGAGGTTGTAATGTCTTCTGCATCCATCACGTGACTTTTTAGGTTTAGTATCTTACTCGATCCTGCAGTGAACGTAAACAGGGTATTGATTGGATTGTAATTCCATAATTACAGAGCTTCATAACTTTAATTTGTCCATGGTTTAGTGATTATTCCATATCTCATGGCTCCATGTCTTAACAGTGGAATAGTTTAGTGTACATGTATTGATAATTTATGAGGTACATAGATTTTAGTGTTAATAGTTTGGATATTGGTGTTTTTGAATTTTATAAATAACTTTTCAAATTGAATGTTAATAAACATTTTGCAATGCAGATTCCAGTTATATTTTACAGGATTTCAAAGCCTTATGTACGTACATTGAGTTTGTAAGGTTGCTTATTGAGAAGAGAGAATCATTTTTAAAGATGCTTAAGTTTGTCTTGGTAAACATGGTAAACTAACACAAATTGAAGTTATGATAAATAGGTTCTGGGGAAAACAATTATACTAACTGCTTATTTTTAAGGATTTTACGTTCATTAATTGCATTTTAAGAGCCATTCTCTGTAACGACTTGAACTTTTATATAGGAGCTGTGGCACGCATAGTCTCAGAATTTCTCCAAACTCTCTATGATAAAGATCTTTGATACCATAAACTGAAATCAGGCAGAAATTGGTTGCTACGTGTCATGGTTACCATGGCAACATGTCCTAAAGTTTGAAAAATGGCATTTTCAACATGTTCAGAGTCCCACAGTTAACGTTTGCAGCAAAGCAAACAAGTGGCAATGATTGTTTCTGAAAGTTGTAGGCCTGATGTCTTAAATGCATGATAAACATGTTTGGTAAATCAACTATTACATACGTTACTATGGAAACAAAGTATTCAAAAGTAATAATTTTGCTCATTTAATTTTATAAAATCAAACACTTAAGAATAAAAAAAAAATTATAGGTTGAAATGCAAGCAAATAATAGACAAAAGATCCTTGTAACATATACCAAGGAAGAAATATGATATTTCTTATAAGTTGGCAATGGTTGCCATGGTTTTAATACCAAGAAGGGATTTTAAATTTACTCTTTTAGTGTTTAAATATAATCCTATCTTTTTAAAAAGCATATTTTTATATAACTAATGATCAATTTTTAAAGACGTTCATGTGACCCTAATTTTCACATTTCAAAAAACTCAAATTCAATTCTTTAAATAGAGCGTTGCTATGGAAATAAGCCAAAAAAATATGCATAAAAATCTGAAAAATATTCTGTTTCCTTGGATACGTACCCTTGTATGTAGATTCCCAAAACTATTATGATTGATAATTATGAACAACTAACCTGACTTTCAATTTTGACTGCCACCTAATCTCTAACTGGATGCAAAAACCTGGCACATAAGGTTTAATATTGATATAAAATTAACAAAATCGAACATTTTCCCTTCCTGGTTACCATAGCAACAGTGTTGTATTTTTCAACAAACGTTATCAATATATGATATTCAACTTTAGTTCTACCAGATAAGTACTATTCAAGGTGAGTCAAATAATACGTTTCTTGAATAAAAGGTAAGTAAATTCCTAATGCAGCAAAAAAATATCACTTTAAACAACTGGTACATTGTTTCCATGGTTACACTGCAAAGTAACAATTAATCCCATTTTTTCTTATGTTGTCGGTGTTGCAAGGTCCTAAGGATGTATATGTGCCAGTCATGAAATTTATTGTTTTTCCTGAAGATAGTAGCATTTACCCAATCTTAGCAACACATTTAGCATGGTAACACTGTGTTACCATGGCAACCATAAAAGTCATTTTTAGAATAATATTGCCAATACCTAATTACTTAAGGTCAAATATTTTTATTGTTTTTTCTTAGGTTGTTGATTGAGTTTGATCATTTAACACCTATCATTAGTGAATATTAAGCGTTTTTCTGCATTTTTCAGCATCTAAAATGTATTCCAAATGTACCCATGGTTACCACTTACTTAGAGATAAATTCTAAATAGTTTCTTTATAGCATTAGTGGCAACAAGGTGTCAGGTTTTTGTGAGAATTGTTTGTTTGTTATTCTTAGTCTTTATTAAGGCTTAATAAAGATTCAAAGTAGCTGAAAATCTCAATTTTTCCAACTTTTCTGGCTGTTACCATGGCAACCAAGACACATAGCAACGAAATTTTATTTGATATATGTTTCTGGTGTCAAGTTGTAATAATGTGCAAAGTTTCATCAAAATCGGTGACCATGCGTGGTTTAAGTAGTTACAGAGAATCGCTATTAATATTTAAAGTTCAAATGAAATGTTAAAATTGAAAAGGTGTTAAGTTATTAAAATGTAAAAATGTTTTGTTGGTTTTTATTGGGAAACATACTGTTTTTCAAATTTAAACTGAGGTAATACATTTTATAACCCTTTCTCTACTGTATGTGGTATATATTTGTACCTGGTATATATTCAATATCAGAGAGACCTTGTATTTGTCTAACAAAAGGTCAGGCTTTGAGAGAGGTCAAGGTGAGTGCATTAAGGTCAATTGTCAGGTGAAGTGTTTCCACTATCAGAGAAACAGTGTTTCACAAACGATTCCTATTTTTTGTATTGTGAGCTGTTGTTCTCAATGTTTTATGAAATGAGAAGCATGGAAATGATCGTTTAAATATTTGATGTGGTTGGAAAAGACGAAAGGAAGAGGAGCTGATTGAGGTGTGAAAATAAATCAGTTCCTTTCTGTTCACCAAACTATGATGACAAAATCAATAGGACTTCATTGATTGTCTATAAAGAAATGGTAATGTAATTACCCAGTCAGGTTTTTCGTAACAGGAAGTCAGGCTGATGTCATTTTTCTGATGTTATCAGATATATGTTTTTCTGTACAGTAGAAATTCTCTAGAGTCTGAGTACACCTGACACTCTATTATACTTCAACCAAACTGATGTCTGAGTTTATTATTTTCTTTTCTTTTTTGTTACTTCAATTAATGTGAAAGAAAAAAGAACCTTTTCAATCACAAAATCCACAAAAATGCATACTTTGATTTTTTTTTTTTTTCTTAACTAGTAAAAGAAAAAAAGAATCTTTTCAGTCATGAAGTGTGAATGTTTCTGTTTCAAAGAGGGGAATGATCTTCGTTTAAGCTGCCATAACTTTATTGTATGGTTTTTGCTTCGGCTTTTTTTATTTCAATTCAAACCAAAACTTCTCGACCTCAGTGGTAATCCTACCACATCCACAAAAATGCATATTATATTTATGAATTTCATGAGGTGGTTCAAGACATGATTGCATATTACATGGGTGATAAAAAAAGTGGGCAAGATAATTCATTCGTAGATTGTACATTGTACATGTTGTATGTTGATACAAGTCCAGTAATTAATAAATTGTAGTTTTATTTCATGTATTATAGAATTTTTATATATATGGCAAGAAACTAACCGCTATGTGTAAAAGGAAGAGGGTTAGTTTTACTATGTACAATACCTTATCATACAAATATGTGCACTAAGTGAAGTATTTCCTGCTGGTTCATCTATAGATGATGTTATCACATAAATTTATGTAAAAAGGAAGAGGGTTTTTTACATTCTCACTTTGAAAGCTAAGGATTTGTTCAGCTTTTTTTATCTAAGCCCATGGCAGATGTGAATGGCTGAATGTGCACCAACACAATTTCAATCGGTCTCCTTAAGTTTTTGCTTGTTACTGTTGGTTACAGGAGAATGGTCCCTTCCTTCCTAGATTAGAACAAATCTATAATAATGACATGTTGTTCCACCAGAAATTTTAGATAAAAAAATAAGTAATTGATAATACATGTATATAGCAAACTTTGTGGATAAAATGTTGTTGAAGACAAAAAGGAAACAGAATGATTTATTGATGTTAAAGTTTTCTAATTTTTAAAAGTATTTATTTAACCTTGAGGAAAGGCTCCAGAAGGAGGAAATCTTGAACTCTTGTGACATATGATAACGAAATTGTCCTGTGCTTCTGAAATTAAAAAAAAAAAAAAAGATACCGGGTATATGAAAATCTTCATTTATAAACCTTTGTTATACTCATAATTTAATATTATTATCTTTTAAAAGAAAGGTATATTTTAAGAGCATAGTTTTTCTTGGTGGCAATTTCTGGAATTATCTATACATGCTATATATGTATAAAATACTGCTTTTGGGGTGTTTTTGTACATAATTTATTGCATGAAGACACTAAAAACCTAGTTTGATTTAGTTACTTTTTTATCAGAATTGAATCTGGGTTGACTATTTCTGCTACCAAAAATTTAAATCTGCCATGAAAACAATCAGGATGTAGAAACTAAAAACACTGACCTTCAATTCGTAGATCTTTCCGTTAATATCCTAAATTTGTAGATAATAGCACAGGACTGGACAAATGGCTGCATCTGCCAAGGAAGAACAGATTGGATCCTTTCTATGTAATGAAGATTTAGTAACACTCTGGAAGTTTATTTTAATAAGTTGTTGAAATTTCATAGTCTTGATTGAACATTATATTATAAATGAAGATTGTATTGTAAGGCACACAGTAGTGAAATCTTTTTACCTTTCTGTGATGAAATAAAAAGGGATATTCTTGAAATATAAGCATTTATTTGTGATATTTCATTAGCACTTGGATAGGAGAATTTAATTTTTTTTTGTTTCAGCACCGGAATGATTTGTGTGTACTTGTATTAGTCCAATGATCAGATGTCCACAGCCATGAATAAGTTTGATGATGTCATTGTGCCTAATCACTTTTTCCCTTTCAGTGCCGGTATGATTTGTGTTTACTTGTCCAATGATCAGATGTCTACAGCCCTGAATAAGTTTGATGATGTCGTTGTGTCTAATGTGGATGATGTTACCACCTATGTCTCTAACACAGTCAAGGTAAACAGCACATTAACACAGATTATCAGACAAAAGTTTGACAGACATCTTTAAAAAATAAAATAATAAAACAAAATAAATTTTATCATAATGTCACACTCACAGTACTCTTTAACATGTTTACTATCAATTGAAAAAAATGTACATGCACAATGTATATTGTCTCAGTTTTTACATGGATCTGAATTATGTTAACAAAATGGTGATAATTATAATATTAATATTAAAGTGCAAATATTTTTTTTAATATTAAAAAAAATTAATTAACACTATTTCATTTTTTCAGGAAACAAAGTATGTAATGAGATCTAATTTTAATTTCACCTCATCAGTGATATCCAGAGACCTTGACAGTATGTATACTATTGTCAATATATAAGTAGGTGTAGAATTTGTCAAGGAAACTATTCTTATTTGAAGTTGATTTTCAATTCAATGCCCTTTTGAGAATAGATTTCCTCCTCTTTTTTTGGCTTTTGAGAATTTTCCTGTACTTTTTGCAATCCTTGTACAATGTACAGTTGTAATGATTTCCTTTTCTATTGACAGGACATTCATAATTCTGTCCAGATACCTAGCATTCATCTTATTCTCAGTGTTCCCACATCTAAACTTTGATATTTAGTCTAAAATTGGGAAAGTCTTAATTAGAATTAAAAAATCACCATAAATTAACATACATTCTGTATTATTTTAACCTAGATATAGGATATGTACTGGGTATTCCAATCCGAACAGCACTGAAAACAGAAGCCAAGCTGGACACGGCCATATCTTCTGCCAATGCATTGGTCACAAGTATGTCATTATTTGTTGTTTGGGAAATTATGTATCTGAATTAATAATTATTAAAGTAAAGAATTCAGAGGATTATGAATGTATTTGTAATGTATTTCCTGTAAATTTACTTCAGCAACTTACATGAATCAATTTGGAAATGGTCAATTTAGAGGGATTCATTTTATTTTAAATATTGAGAACTTTCTTCTCATATTAGACAATTTCACACAATTATCTAAACTGAGTTTTGTGTTTAATGACTACTGAACATGCTGAATGTCAATATTATTGCTTACAAATTGATTTACAAACTTTAATCCCAATTTATATACCAGTAGTAATAACTTTTGTTTTTTACAATTAATTTGCAATTTGTCCCATTGTAAGTGATAAATATAAAAAAAGAAAAATAATAATGAACGCTGCTAATATAGAAGATATATATTTATAAGTTAATGCAAGTTAACAGTCAGATTAAATCAACTCCGTCCAGATGTGAAAGGCCGTCGTTTTTAATGGGAAGAAACAGAAATATGCCTTAGGGTAATTCTGTAAGAACATCTTCTTCATGACAGGAGTGACTCAAATAGCATCTGCCTTGACAACATTAAACACGACCTTGGGAGATGTGAAGGTGAAGGCCAATATCCTGAGCTCTAACCTTTCTACTCTGAAGACTGACATAGATGCTGCTATAACAAATTCAGGATGTCCCCGAACAGGATGCCCTGACACTACCAATGTCGCCATGGGCTTTGATCCAAATAATGTAAGCTTTAGTATATAATTATCTTTGTTATAACTTTGCTTAAATACTATGCCTCATTATAATTATTCTATATAATATGCTGTCTGCTTAGTTCTAGACGATCATGTGACAGGACCATAAAGCTTCATATTTCTGTTGTTGTCATGCTTTTCATCACATTGGTCATGAATAATCTTTGTACCAAGAATGAACTTCTATTGTTTCTCTTGTACAAAGTTATGGCACATATGAACAGAAAAACAGCTAGACAAGTTGATTTCTACATATATATTGTTATCCCAAAACTTTGCTTGCAAGGGGAGAGCACCTGATACATGAAGGCTGAGGGCAAAGAATGCTTGCCTATATCTAATGTGTAGGGTTGTCAATGTTAGACTACATAAGGCTATCCTAATATGTAGGGATGTCAATGTTAGACTACATAAGGCTATCCTAATATGTAGGGATGTCAATGTTAGACTACATAAGGCTATCCTAATATGTAGGGTTGTCAGTGTTAGACTACATAAGGCTATCCTAATATGTAGGGATGTCAATGTTAGACTACATAAGGCTATCCTAATATGTAGGGATGTCAATGTTAGACTACATAAGGCTATCCTAATATGTAGGGTTGTCAGTGTTAGACTACATAAGGCTATCCTAATATGTAGGGATGTCAATGTTTAGACTTCATAAGGCTATCCTAATATGTAGGGTTGTCAATGTTAGACTACATAAAGCTATCCTAATGTGTAGGGTTGTCAGTGTTAGACTACATAAGGCTATCCTTATATGTAGGGATGTCAATGTTTAGACTACATAAAGCTATCCTAATATGTAGGGTTGTCAATGTTAGACTTCATAAGACTATCCTAATATGTAGGGATGTCAATGTTAGACTACATAAGGCTATCCTAATATGTAGAAATGTCAATGTTTAGACTACATAAGGCTATCCTAATATGTAGGGTTGACAGTGTTAGACTACATAAAGCTATTCTAATATGTAGGGTTGTCAGTGTTAGACTACATAAAGCTATTCTAATATGTAGGGTTGTCAGTGTTACACTACATAAAGCTATCCTAATATGTAGGGTTGTCAATGTTAGACTACATAAGGCTATCCTTATATGTAGGGATGTCAATGTTTAGACTACATAAAGCTATCCTAATGTGTAGGGATGTCAATGTTAGACTACATAAAGCTATCCTAATATGTAGTGGATGTCAATGTTAGACTACATAAGGCTATCCTTGTATGTAGGGTTGTCAATGTTAGACTACATAAGGCTATCCTAATATGTAGGGTTGTCAATGTTAGTCTACATAAGGCTATCCTAATGTGTAGGGATGTCAATGTTACACTACATAAGGCTATCCTAATATGTAGGGATGTCAATGTTAGACTACATAAGGCTATCCTTATATGTAGGGATGTCAATGTTTAGACTACATAAAGCTATCCTAATGTTTAGGGATGTCAGTGTTAGACTACATAAGGCTATCCTAATATGTAGGGATGTCAATGTTAGACTACATAAGGCTATCCTTATATGTAGGGATGTCAATGTTAGTCTTCATAAGGCTATCCTAATGTGTAGGGATGTCAATGTTAGACTACATAAGGCTATCCTAATATGTAGCGTTGTTAGTGTTAGACTACATAAAGCTATCCTTATATGTAGGGATGTCAATGTTAGACTACATAAGGCTATCCTAATGTGTAGGGATGTCAATGTTAGACTACATAAGGCTATCCTAATGTGTAGGGATATCAATGTTAGACTACATAAGGCTATCCTTATATGTAGGGATGTCAATGTTAGACTACATAAGGCTATCCTAATATGTAGGGTTGTCAATGTTAGACTACATAATGCTATCCTAATATGTAGGGTTGTCAATGTTAGACTACATAAAGCTATCCTAATGTGTAGGGATGTCAATGTTACACTACATAAAACTATCCTAATGTGTAGGGATGTTAATGTTAGACTACATAAGGCTTTCCTAATGTGTAGGGATGTCAATGTTAGACTACATAAGGCTATCCTAATGTGTAGGGATGTCAATGTTAAACTACATAAGGCTATCCTAATATGTAGGGTTGTCAATGTTACACTACATAAGGCTATCCTAATATGTAGGGTTGTCAATGTTAGTCTACATAAGGCTATCCTAATGTGTAGGGATGTCAATGTTAGACTACATAAGGCTATCCTAATATGTAGGGATGTCAATGTTAGTCTACATAAGGATATCCTTATATGTAGGGATGTCAATGTTAGTCTACATAAGGATATCCTTATATGTAGGGATGTCAATGTTAGACTAATAACTTAAAGGCTATCTGTATTGTGTTCAGCTTAGACTCAAAGAAACTGTTCCAGATAATTTTTGTCAAACCTTATATGCTTATAGATATTGATGATAGCTGATCAATGGCATCAACATTTTTTTTACCTTAATACTGAGTTTCCAGATACCACTGTTATGTGGAAATTCTTCAGTTACAAAATTATTGAAATATAGAACTAATTATAGTGTGTGTACAAACAAAATGGGATATAGTAAAGTGTAAACAAAACCAAACTGAAATCCTGAAAAACAAAACCGAACCATTAATTGACTTTTTGGATAACGTTGATATCCCTATTAACTTGTTCTGTATTGGATAAATATATAGGTCTGTTACATGTACATAAATGTACACATATTTATCATATGATATCAATCTCTATCCACTAAGTCTACAGAGCTTAATGACCCATTTTGGTACAGGATCCTGTGCCCTTTCAGTTTGTAATTTTAAATCAAAAATCAGATAAATATTGATGACTTGTACCGTAAATCTGGAAATATTTACGTCGATTTATTTTTGCGAATCTGGGTCAAATAGGTGTTGATTAATTTTTACGTTTTAAAATTTTGCGAATAATCATTGGCGCTAAAAAAAAAAAGGGCCTAGACGTTTCATAACAGTTTATAAGTTACGTTTGTATTAAATGAATTACGCATATTCATGCAATCTCCTTTCTTTCGTCGGGGTTTCATTATACACGAGAGTAAGTTCTTTATTAACAATCTGTCGTGCTAAGGATTCATTGTTAGATAAAACAACTGGCCTTTCTTTCTTGGAGAAATAATTTTAAAGAGAATTTCTGCATGTCAAACCATCGGATGATATTGAATGTTTTTAAGGCACAGATTAGAGAGGTTGAGATTTTAAACTTGTACGCGTACGTGTACGTGTGCACAAACTTTGACGTACACGTACACGTTTTTTGTAATTTGTCTGTTGAGATTTAATGACGTGTAACATGAAGGTGTAGACTGTAATCGGTGTCTCTGTTTCAACTATTTAGTAGTTTTGTGACATTAGTTCGACTTTAGTTAGAGAACAAAACATGGTTAAAGTAAGTGTTCATGAAACTTAAACATCCTAAATAATGAACAACAATAACAGTTTCACACATAAATTGACTAGTTTTTATTAAAAAAAAGCTACAAGTTTACGCCTAGGTGTAGATGCCTTTTTACAAGTCGTAGGAACGTGTAGAAAACTTATCAACACCAAAACTGATGACGTAATACGCAAGAAATTTAGGGAATTCCCCTACTAGACGTACCCGTACACGTACACGTATGAAATCTCAACCTCTCTATTATCACGGGTAATTAGCTTGTAGAATAAACATATTTCTTAAAATGACCACTGCTTACGAACACCTGTTCACCGGGTTAAAAAAAAGACACCAACTGTCAGCAAAATTTTTGTTTACAATTTTTGTTGTTGATTTATTTTTAAGAAAAATATTTTTGCGAATGCAGTACACACGCAAATTTGCTAAAAATTTATCTACAGTAAAAATTTCCAGATTTACGGTATTATGTTAACTTCAGATTGAAGAGTTAGATTGTAGACTTTTCCCTATTTACATCATTATGAATCATTATAATCTAAAATTAAAATTTATTTTTATATAAAAAGCACTGAAAATTTCAATTTGCTTGTCGTTTGGGAATTTTTTTACCTAAATTTTGGAAAAAAGGGTCAATTCTGAAGTGGGACAGGGTTTTTTTTACTGGAGCTGGGTGCAATGGATATTAAACCCTGGTCTAAGACCTTTTTTCACAGAATTAATTAATTTGTTGGAAAACTTCAAAAAGGTTTAAGTACATCTATTATGAAATACAAAACATTATCATGTTCATTCATTTTGAAATTGCATCGATTTTGGAGTAAAGGTTTTATATTTTTGCATACATGATAAGTTTATATTTTCCTTCAATACAAAACTTCATAACTATATAACCGCTAGTTAATTGTTACAGCAGATTGATCAATAGAATCGTTTCTCTTTCAAATTATGATTTTCATCACTGCTTTACATACAGAATATTTTGATTTGTGTTTACAGTTCCCAGACATCAGTGGCCCAATGTCATCTATATCATCAGTGGAAAGTCAAAACTTGTCAGCAATAATCATACAGGTAAAACACTAGAGCTGTTATAATCATACAGGTAAAACACTAGAGCTGTAATAATCATACAGGAAAAACACTGTAGCTATAATAATAATGTAGGTAAAACACTAAAGCTATAATAATTATACAGAAAAAACACTAGAGTTGTAATAATCATACAGTAAAAAACACTAGAGCTGTTATAATCATATAGGTAAAACACTGTAGTTATAATGATTATACAGGTAATACACTAGAGTTGTAATAATCGTACAGTTAAAACACTAGAGCTGTTATAATCATATAGGTAAAACACTAAAGCTGTAATAATCATACAGGAAAAACACTAGAGTTGTTATAATCATATAGGTAAAACACTAGAGCTGTTATAATCATACAGGTAAAACACTAAAGCTATAATAACCATACAGGTGAAACACTAGAGCTGTTATAATCATGTAGATAAAACACTAGAGCTATAATAATCATACAGGTAAAACACTAGAGTTGTTATAATCATATAGGTAAAACACTAGAGCTGTTATAATCATACAGTTAAAACACTAGAGCTGTTATAATCATATAGGTAAACTGCTAGAGCTGTTATAATCATACAGGTAAAACACTAGAGCTATAATAATCATACAGGTAAAACACTAGAGCTGTTATAATCATACAGGTAAAACACTAAAGCTATAATAATCATACAGGTAAAACACTAGAGTTGTTATAATCATATAGGTAAAACACTAGAGCTGTTATAATCTTACAGTTAAAACACTAGAGCTGTTATAATCATATAGGTAAACCGCTAGAGCTGTTATAATCATATAGGTAAAACACTAGAGCTATAATAATCATACAGGTAAAACACTAGAGCTGTTATAATCATACAGGTAAAATGCTGGAGTTGTTATAATAATACAGGCAAAATACTAGTCCTGTTCTAATCAAACAGATAAAGTGGTAGCTCTATTATGATAATTTAGGTACAGTCCTAGCATTGATATAATAAACAGTCAACAATACTGTCATAATCATACAGTATAAGCTCTAACACATCAGTTATCATGTAGGTATTTAAGTACTAACATGTAAGAAATCAAACGGGTAAAGTTATAACACATCAGTATTTATACAAGTCGAGTCCTAGCACTTGAGTATTTATACAGGTAAAGTCCTAGCACATCAGTAATCAAACACATAAAGTCCAACACTGCAGATATAAAGATTAAGCTCTTAGAAATCATACAGATGAAGTCCTAAATACGTCAGCAATCATGGTAAATGTTTGTCCTAATACAAGAATTATCATTTAAAAGTCATAAGATTGCAAACATGCAGGAATATTCCTTCGCCTTATTGTGTTTCAATTCAGTCTATCATTTAATTATTCTCTGAACAGCTGTTCCATTTAAAGAAGAGATGACAGTATCCTAGCAGTATTACGTTTTCTGATTTTGATTCAGCTGACAATAAATGTATGAAGCAATTATTCCTTTGAGAAATGTGAAAGATTATGCTTTGACATTTTAAGTAAGTACTAAATCACTTCAGTTGAAAGATGAAATTATCTATTCTTGCAGGCCCAGTCAGAAATTGACAACATCCCAGAAAGAGTCACTAATGAGACCAAGAACACAGTGTCTGGTATGCTTTAGTTTATTAAACTTTGTACATTTTTGATAAGCAATACATGATTTAGCAGTTTTAATTTTCTAGTGCTATCAAGCTGTGATTGAATGGTTTTCAAACCAGTAGCAGGACATTTAGTAATAATTAACAATTATTCTAAGAATTTAAGCTTGTGGGGATAAGTTAAGCATTAATGGTGGAAAATAAGCTTAGGATAAAAGCTGGTGATCCAAGGCCCCTTGACTGGTGCAAGATAGTGCTCTGAGATACAAGGTAGTCCCAGACTGAAGGGGGGGGGGGGAGGGGAGGGCTAATAATTGAAACGAATTGTGCACTTTCAGTGTTTTAGAGGGTTAAGTGTAGTCCCCATTCCAAAGACAAGGCTTAATTTTTAAAAGATTTAAGTGTATATGTATTAAATTTTCAAGATAAAACATATTTTGTGGTTGCTTAATAATTTCAAGTTTACATAATACTTTTGAAACCATCAGATAATTAGAAATGTTATGTAACAGTATCATACCAACTGTCTCTGTCAAAAAAATGTCACAGTTTTTGTCATTTGTAGATGGTACAATAATTAATGGAATTGTGATTTAATTAATGAAAATCATTTTACATAAAGATGAGAAATACCTTGTTTGTTTTATGATAGAGCATTCAAATGGACTGACAAAGCTAACAGTAAAACATGTCAGGGACAAACAATTTTGATTTGTTATAAGCGTAATTCATTACATCTTGTAAATTCATACAATGTAATACATGTATGTTTTAAAACTACAGGGAATGAAAATCACTTTGCTGTAAGCTGAACTCATTTAAAGTGTTAATGTAACCAAGTTTTACTCTACACATATGTGGTTGTGTAAGGTACATGGCATCCTACTTGCTTGGGCTAGTAGGTCAGCCTTGAGCTCAATTGGTAAAGCACTGGACTGGCATGCCAGAGCACCCGGGTTCAATCCCCAGCAAAAGCACATAAATGTCTCTGCTACACATATATACAGAAAAATTGCAAAAGATCTCCTGTATATATTGAAGATACATGTATGTCTGTCTTCCCTTGTGATCTCTTGCACTTTGACAAATATGTCAATTTCTTTCAGCTTGCTTTTTTCTTGGTTTCATTTCTTCACATACCTCTGAAAAGCAGAAATCCACTTTAATATCAACACTTAAGACCAGATATTGTCCCAGACAGATTCTGTTAAATTAGAGATGTTAAAGATAATTTTCTTTCAACAGATATAAAGGATATGGTGTCTAACTTTTCCAGTGAGGTAGACCCTCTGATAGAGAAAGTTGAGAGCATGCAGGACGCTATCTCAGTGAGTAGAATTATAAATCAGTCAGAGGGCATACATTACTGAATCTCACACAGTTCACAGGTATATTAGTCAGATTTGATCTCTCTATGAGTACAATCACAAGTCAAAGGACATACAACACTGAATCTCATACAGTTCACATGTATATGTATATAATCCAGAGATTATACAGGACTCATTCTCTGTGAGAACTCCTTAATTCCCAGATACAGCGGTAATCTTTCAAATTTTGATTTAAAAGTTGCAAAAATGACTAAACAGTGATATTAGACTGATGTTGAATTAATACAAAATCTTCATTAAATAAATGATATGATTTTATATTCAAGTAGGTTTGGATATGACTACTAAGAAACCTTATACATGTGTATGACTGCTTACATCTTTTCAGACCAATGGTACTCTAGCAGACATTAAAAAACAGGTGACTGATGGTGTCAACACAGCATCTTCCTATGACAAGTACAGGTAACATATACACATTGTACAATTATATAAACCTTATTACTTTTTAGCTCACCTGCACTTAAGTTACAAAATGCTATTTTCTACTCTAAAAAAACAACTTGAGAGCATGTTTTAAAGGACTTATTGCATGTTTCTAAATTATTTAAGATTAAAAGCGTAAAACATTCACTATGACCACAGTTTATAAATTTTGTGTTTTTACTGTGGATAAACCGCGGTAATTAATCAATAATTGACTCAAATGAAAACCCCTGATTTAAAAATCTAAGTTAATTAGATAGCGGTCACGTGACCTTGTGACGTCAAAGGCGACAATGGCTGATCAGCTCTTCACGTTAATCTTACGAAAATATACGCGATACAACCTGAATTTTATGTGTTGTGGACGATCAAATCGCTTATTTTATCAATATGAAATTGAATATCCAACCTTATATGTTAGAACTGCCAGCAAGAAAAAAATCTGAAAAATCTGTTTACATTGTAAAAATTGCAGCGACGATAGCGAGGGAGAAGCGGCGAAGAGGAAGAAACTCGCCATCAAAATACGATTTGATTTGTCATCTTATCACATGTATTTACATATTTGATTCAAAAATTTAACATTATATAACTTTGTTGTTCTTCGATGTTAACATAATATTAATTTATGCAAGTCTTCATATGTATTTTAAAGGATGGCGATCTTGAAAAATAATTTCCGGATCACAAAATATTGCCGTAATCAGAGCTACAGATTCTAAATGTTTGGAATAAAAAACGAAAATATCTCATAAGCCTTATACCTTAGAACTAGTTAGTGTTTCTACAGTAATTGAAAACACATCAAGAATTTATTTTTTCAGCATTTTTCGTAATTAAGCTGCAATTGTTGTTGATAACTCCGTAAATAGTGTGTATATTCTCATCTCTCTATCACTGAATTGTCGCCTATAACGTCAGAGCAGTATTTCGCCAAAATCCGACTGAAATATGCATATTGCTGTATTTGAATTTCAACTCCCAATAACTCTTAAAATATGCTTTCAACAACGTTTATTGTATACAGTATTTTAATAAACAAGGTTGTAGATAATATTTTTCATAAAATTACAATTTTTGAAAAATCATGCGATAAGTCCTTTAAGCTTGAATTACTTTGATTCACAATGTCATTTGAATAACTGTCCTTGCACACACCCTTTCAGTGTCTTTGTACCAGGGTTTGTCTCAGGGGTAGGGTTCTAGTGTATAATGACATTGATGAAGTCAGTGGTACATAATACTGAGTATATGAAGTTTTTAAATTCTTTTGATGACATTCAAAACTGACAGATGAAAATGAAACTATAGTACCTTGCTTTAAATGCACCCCCTTTTCCAAACTTTAGGAACAGGATAGGGAGAAAATGTGTATGTCATTTTGTTTTACTTTTTACTTCATTGCTCTGTTTACAGATGGTATGGTGGTGTAGGCCCGACTTCTGTTGTCTCATTCATAGTCCAATTACAGCTTACCTCATTATTCTGTTTACAGGTGATATGGTGGTGTAGGCCAAACTTCTATCATCTTGTAGATACAGCTCACCTCTCTGTTTACAGGTGGTATGGTGGTGTAGGCCTAATTTCTATTATTTCCTATGTAGCTTGTAACACGAGCTTTGATTGGTTACAAAGTCGGATGTAAATTTCCGTACACCCAACTTGAGCTGGGGGTAAAAAATGTGATATCACAATGCAGAGTTTCTCTATGATAAAAAGCAAATAACATGATGTCATGATGCATTGTAAGACGTAGTAAATCTTATTGATAGCTTGAAACACAGTTTACAAAGAATTTATTTGGGGTACATAGGAAATAAATTCATTATCCAGGTCCAATCAAGGGTGTACGGGGATTTACCCCGTGTTGTATTCAATACACCCTTCGGCCTTTGGCCTCAGGTTGTATGGAATAAAACCTGAGGTAAATCCCCGTACACCCTTGATTGGACCTGGATAACTAATATTGTCTTACTGATAGTCCTGTTACAACTTACCTCTCTGTTTACAGGTGGTATGGTGGGGTAGGCCTGATTTCTGTTGTCTTATTGATAGTCCTGTTACAGCTTACCTCTTTGTTTACAGGTGGTATGGTGGGGTAGGCCTGACTTCTCTTGTGTTATTGATAGTCCTGTTACAACTTACCTCTCTGTTTACAGGTGGTATGGTGGGGTAGACCTGACTTCTGTTGTCTTATTGATAGTCCTATTACAACTTACCTCTTTGTTTACAGGTGGTATGGTAGTGTGGGCCTGACTTCTATTGTGTTATTGATAGTCCTGTTACAACTTACCTCTCTGTTTACAGGTGGTATGGTGGGGTAGGCCTGACTTCTATTGTGTTATTGATAGTCCTTTTACAGCTTACCTCTCTGTTTACAGGTGGTATGGTGGGGTAGGCCTGACTTCTATTGTGTTACTGATAGTCCTGTTACAGCTCCTAGGCCTCTGTTTTGGAACATTTAGCCAGAATTCAGACAGACTACCTACAGATAGAGGATGTATTGGCACTGCTGCTGGAAATATGCTCATGGCGTAAGTTTTAGTTTTCAGAGCTTTCAATGTATATGCAAACAATTTTTTATGCCCGTCCCCCCATATCCATAAAGGGGGGTCATCTAGAGTTACCCATAGCCATCCATACAGGCTGTCCGTCTGTAACACTGGTTTTCATGCCATGACTTCAGAGGAATTATGATTGAGATGGTTGTAGTCTCTAGCACATTATCTTACCTAACAAGAAAATTGACTGGATGGTGAATGAAAGGCACAGAACACAGAGTGTGTGTTGAAAGAAAGAGAAGTAAACAGACATTTAGACATGTGATTACATACACAATTATGTTAACCCTCTTATAGGTTTGGGCTTTGAATTCACATTTTCTTACCTTCTTACTTGTCTGTGGGCTTTGTGTTTACATTTTCCTGAGCTATTTTGAGTGCCAGAAAGTAATGATGTTAACCCCTGTAACAGGTTTATAGGCTTTTTGTTAAAGTTTTTCTAGCTGTTTTGAATATTGGATAGTAATAATGTTAACTTCTTTTACAGATTTGTTGGCTTTGTGTTTATAAATTCCTGGATGCTTTGAACGTTGGAGTAATAATGTTACCTTCTATTACAGGTCTGTTGGCTTTGTGTTTATATTTTCCTGGCTGTTGATGCTGTTGACAACCCTGACATTTATCATTGGGAGCCCGCTAGAACGATTTGTCTGTCAACCTCTCACAGACTCCTCTCTGAATGATCTAGAAACGGTATACTTTGTTTTATTCTTTGAACATTTCTCAATGTACATTGTATATTTATTTATCTATAAGGATTTTAATATTCATTATTTAGCTCACCTCAATGAAGTTGGGGGGAGCTTATGTGATACCATCAGTGTCGGCGTCCTAGGTTAAAGTTTTTGGAGCTGTTTTCTTTTTAAGTACTTCTATGCCCTACATTAATCAGAGATGCATGAAAGATGCATCTAGTGTGTTTCATAGTACCAGTCAAGGTTTCAGATACTGCAATTTCAGCTAAGGAGTGACCAGGTTAATGTTTTTTGAGCAGGTTAAAGTTTTTGAAGCAGGTTAAATTTTTTTAAGCAGATCTCATTTCCAAGATACTAAAGTTTTTGGAGCAGGTCTCACTTCCAAGTAACTATAAGCTCTATGTTTACCAAACTTACATAGATGATACATCTAAGGATGCACACTACAGGACTTGCTTCGAATGCTGGATCTGACCCACATTTTCCAGCTGAATGACTAGGGTAATGTTTTTGGAGCAGGTCTATTACCAGGAAACTACAAGGTCTATCTGAACCATGCTTGCATTGATGATGCATCACAGGATGAACACTCTCATATTTGCTTCAGATGCTGGATTTGACTCGCATTGTCTGGATGATTGATCAGTTTAAATTTTTTAGGTATGTCCATTCCCAATTAACTGCAAGCCTTGTCAGACCAAGAGTACATAAATGTTACATCTGGGGATGCACACTAGTATATTATTGTTTAGTGTGGGATTTGCCTTACTGAAAACAACATTTGTTGATGTGAGCTCTGTAATCTCTGATTACCAGGTACCTATGTTTTCCCTTGACCAGTGAATTTCTGTATGAAATGTTAAATAAAAAATTTACTGTGCTGCTAAGCATAAATCAAAGCAAAAAATATATATACTTTTAAAATGATTGGAAAATTTTTTCAGCAGGGTCATAACTCCGCGGAATCACAATTTCTGTTTAATCTAAAGGTAGAAAATGAGCAAAGAGCTAAATCCACGAAGGGGCTAAATCGGCCTATTTTTTCAGGAAAATTAAACTGAGGGGAAGAAGAAAATTAACAATGGATATATTATCCTTGGGTATCAAACTTAAGTAGCGTTCTTTGTAAAAATCATGCAAAATAGGCATGTAGGTGATATATGAGGGTTCGCAGAATTTGATGATTTTCCACACATAGTTTTCCTTTGCCCTATGAACTATGTATGCAAAAGGAAAAATGTTTTGATTCATGGTTACCATGGAAACATGGGTAGAGAAATTTCCCTAGCAACCAGCCAATTTTCAGCTTCGATGGACTAAAAAATCTCTTATCTTTCAGGCTCAAATTAAATGTAAATACAAAAAGAATTTCTTTTTCATTGCTGTTATTCTCAAGATAATGATCTTAACAGTTTTCAAAATCAAAAATATAGAAATAAGATTTAAAGATATATCTGTGATAGATGTGGGAATATATGCATGTTTTTCCTTTTTTGCTGACTCAGCATTTTCCTTGATTTTGGAATTATTCAATGCCTAATTACTCCAGTGATGGACCTCATACAGACATCCTGTGCATATTACCTAAAAGCAGAGGATTTTGTCTTTTAGAATTTGAATTCAGAAGCATATAATTTTTTAACATTCCTATCCGTTGCCTAGCAACAAAAATGGATGTTTTGATGAATAAAAAGAGAAAAAATGTAAAATGCTAAAGTCATAAATCACATAACTTGTAATCTTTGAATACTGAAAACAAAATTTACAATAAATTGAACTTTTTGAGACCTCTCTTTAAACTATGGAATGTTTTACAATTTGTAATCTCCATGGTAACAGCAATTTCCCCTTAGCAACACATCATAGAATAATAATTTTAACATGTTCACATACCTGTTGTTAAGGATTTTTTCAAAGAATGCTGTAAAATTGTGATTAGGCAAATTTTACAATGCAGTTAGTATCTTATAAAATTCTATTTTTCACTTGATTTTCCCATGGCAACGATTCTGAGCACATAGCAACCAGTGTAACCTATGTAGAGTTAAGAGTCATTATATGTAGGAATTTCAATTGTTTTGATACTCAGAATCAAGATTACAGGGCATTGTTATGCAAAATCATTGGTGGTACAAAATATGCATAAATATATACATTTGTAATCAAGATTTAAAAATTTTAACTAAGAATGTTACCATGGTAACGGGTATAAACATTATTGTTTATATCATTTCAGCTTTATTTCTTCATTTCCCTTCATAGCTTTCTAAATTTAAAAAAATATATACAAGCATGGGTTTTCATGTTTTGAAAAAAAACATTAATGCACTTCTTTAATCACTATTTTATGAATGAAATAAATTTATTTTTGTTTAATTAAGGTCAAGATCTAGTGAATGAAAGGTGCCCAAAGATTTCTCAAATTTGAGATACACATTCTTTTAATGATCCTTTACGAATATAGCTTGGTAAAATACGGTGTATCCGGACATAATTTGGGGGTAAACTCACCGGAAAAACATATTAAAAACTGCCCATTTTCAATGAAAAATGAAGAAAGTCTGGTATAAATATGGGAGTTTCTTCCATCTCAGACAAAGGAAATGTATTGCCTACAGTCTCTCAGAAAACGGTTTTTCATATCTTCTTGATCTCTACTTTAAAATGATATTAAACGGAATAAGAGTATCGGGGTTACATTTGACATGACTTCAAATTGAATTCCATGAAAGTGCTTTATTTTCTACACAATTCTATTGAAACCGTAAAGTACGGGGAAAATTAAGTTTAAATCAATTATGACATCATAATGAATCTAGCACCAAGAAGAAAGTCTGAACTCATTTACTAGATCTTGACCTTAAAGTATTTTATAAAATGAATGTTCGCATTTTGGCATAGTTAATTTTCCGTACATTTTTCCTATGCTTGTACCAGAAAATTGAATCTGATGTGGGATTTCTGTGGTCAAATCGTACTCTAGAGTCATTTTTCCGGAGGGAAATCTTACTCTAGAGCAAGTTTTCTGGGGAGAAAGATTTTATTAAGGATTCTTTAAAGCATGCTGTAAAATTTTGAGTAGGCAAATTTTACAATGCAATTAGCATCTTATTAAAGTTTTTTTTACTTGATTAACCCATGGCAACGATTCTATAAAATAACAACCAATGTAATCTACGAAGACTTGAGAGTCATACTCTTAAGCACTTCAACAGTTTTGTTACACAGAATCAAGACTACGGAACATTGACAATTAAATTGACAATTAAAATGATTGCTGGTAGAAAATATATATAAATGTTATACATTCTGCAATCAAGTCTTAAAACCAAAACTAAGAACGTTACCAAGGAAACTGGTGCTAATATTTTTGCATATATAACTTCTGCCTGTAATGCACCATTTGATTCGTTAAATTTTACTTTAAAACATAAAACCTGTCTTGAATTCGTACAATATGACCAACATCGAAAAATCTATCAATCCTCTAGACGTTGCTTTAAAAAAATGTACATTTTAACCTTAGTTGTGATGATCGGGAATCATTTTCGATTTCATTTTCCTCTCCCTTAGATATATGTTTTGTTAGAATACACTAGTTTGCGACACTTTGGTTGAATTTGACAGACGGGTTTAGTAGAAAAAGTTGAAAAATAAGAAATGAACAACGGGCAGACGGACAGACAGACAGAAGACAGGTGATCAGAAAAGCTCACTTCGTCACCTTTCCTTATTTTTGTAGTTCCAATATCACTTGCTTATGGTGTTTATTTGGTACTCAAGAGCTTGCTCTGGGTACGACCAATTTTTAAAGCGAGGCATGCTACTCACTGATAAGTTGATGTTAAAGGGATTTCAACAACCTCGTTTAAAGTTGGTATTTCGTAAATTTTATGGTCGTTATAATGACCTTGTTAGCAAATATAATCTATCATTGGGTCATATATGGATGAATTGTTTCATACCAATTGTTAGGCCTTTGCTTTTTTAGTGAATTGACTACGGAAAATTCCGTGATCCTGATAAATACATAGGGCTCACGGTGACTGTGACCGGTCAACTGGGGATGCTTACTCCTCCTAGGCACCTGGTCCAACCTCTGAAATTTCCAGGGGTCCGTGTTTTATGCCCTCTTTACATATTTGCAATGTTTATAGATTTTATGAGATCGATCACTGTTCGTTATCTTCACCTTTTACATTGAAACTTCTGTACAGGTGAACTTATTGAAATGGTTAAATCAATGCAGAACTAGAAAATGAAATATAAAGAGACAAATAAATATAGTGGGACAGTCAGCAGTAAACTTGAATTAACTTGTTAGTCATTAATATTATAAGACAAACTAAAAATCAGCTCTACAGCCAAACATTTAAAAAAGTAAATTATTAGAAATTTTTCATTTGAGCATATTTTAATATGATCTACATAAATATAATTATAGCCTTGTCTATGACAATTAGAAAATAAGTCTAATGGCTATAACTTTTGTATCAAGAGGCACATTGGCTACACTACTCACTTAAGCACTTGGGCTTAAAAAAAATAGAACACAGTTCAGTATTGAAAACTTTAAATAAAAAAGTGGTCCAAAATTTTTGACAAAACAAAGGCCTAACTAACTAAAGATGCTTCCATATCTATTTACCTAATTATAGCTTTACAAGATTTTCAACATTTGATCTTCTATCGTGGTCCTCACCCTAAGCCCGGGGACATTTGATTTGGACAAACTTAAAATTTGCACTTAGGATGCTTCTGAATTAAAATGACTAATCATGACTTTGCTGTTTTTAATCTTTTCTATATATAGTAAAACATGCTTATACCGAAGTACCAGGGATAGCCAATTTTAATACATTATATGTTAATCTTATAGGTACAGTGTAGTATCCACCACACGTGTGAGATTAAACTAATTACGTTTAATCTTATACTTGTGGAGGATACTACCCATAAGATAAAGTTATGTTTTATCCTTGCGTATGCTTTATAAAA